TATGCAACTATCCATGTAGCACCATCCATTAGATCTACAAAGAACCAGTCACAATGCATTGTCAAAGATGAGTGAAAAAACAAACACAAAATTACTCTTTGGTGCTCCATCGTCGTCTCAGAAATCCTAATTGTTGGAACTCAGTTTTTGACAAATGGCTCAGGCCAATTTTCTGGCAACATTTCTGGTGAGCACAATTACCGAAATGACCGGATTATGGATTTTTTGGATTCCTTGTAATGAGTACTATAAGATAATGTATTCACTTGTCAAAAACGAAGTTGATTTTAATGAGAAATCTTTGGTCAAAGTGGGCATGTAATCAAGACAAAAAGTCAACAAATGTCAAGATGAGCATTTTGTCCCACATCGAAAGTTGGAAGAATTTTCCACTAGTATATATAGTGACACACTCTCAACAAGGTTCACTAGCCTTTAGAAGAGGACACTATGGAGAAGGAGAGAAAGGGCTATTATGTAAAACCACACACATGCGCGCGCGCCATGCCGGGCCGGGCTCGGTCTTGGGTCTTGGTGAATGTGGGCTTTAAGCCCACAACAAGATGTTCTTTTTGGAGTAAATATTTATTAACTTATTTTCACAAATATGTTAATATTCCTTAAAGATAATTTACATAACTCGATAAATCTTTATGATTGGGTCAAAAATTAATAATAAAATATTTCTGTAATATATCTGTTTCGCCCAGATTCTTATCAGAAAGGAATAAAATTTTTTTGGAATATTTCCGTTTCTATTATTCTTTGCGATCAAGGAATAGAAGATTTTTGGAATATTTCCGTTTATCTATAAGTGGCGGCCAAGGCAAACCCTTGCGCCCCAATCCTTCTATCCGCTATATATACTGCCCTCTCTCATTCATTATTCTTCATCAGCGAAAACTTATAGCTTTCGAAAACACAAATATCCAGCAAATCCCTCTCGTCTCTACAGTCTTAGGTGAGTCTCGAGAGTATAGCGTAGAATTTTCAGTTCGCAGATTCTATAGTCGAGTGCTGCGACTTTAGTCTCAACACGGTTGTATACTGGGATTCTGAATCTCTTCAAACCGCCACACTGCAGGAGATTTAAAGAATTAAGAAAAGAGATCATATCTCGACTCCGTGTATCGTCTTTCCTTAAAGGTTTTATTAAAGCGTTTTATATTTTATTATCATTTATTATTGATTTAAATCGTTTTTTATATTCGTGATTTTCAATCTGGATTTTCGCGGTCTTACAATCTTAATTCTTTAAATCCGTTTCCTGCTAATCGCTTGAATCGGATTGAATATTGCGAACAATACTTCAAAAAATGATTTCATAAAACAATTTTAAAACGTTTTCTGATCGATCTACAACGCTTCTGCGATTGCCTTATAGCCAACCGTAGAACGTTTATCTTAAAAACAGATGATTATCATAAAATACACAAAACGATTTCCGCGTCGGCCCTAGGCAGGATCGCGAAATGTTTGTCTATAAACGATCTTATAGATCTGAAACATAGAGTTTAAGAACACCTTTAGGTGATTTCTAGGAACGACTATTAGGGTTTAAGAACGCTTTTAGGCGATTTCTGTGAACAAATTAATAGCGAATTAAAAGTTTTTAATCGCTTTTCTGGATTGAGATCTCAAAAACTAACCTAGTTTGTTTTCTATGATTAGATTCAGAATGTCTACTGACGTTGGACTTCCAAAGAACACAAGTGAGCCGACACTCCCACAAGAGAATGGTCTACCACACGCGGTTCCATCAATTCCAACCGCTCCCTATTCACCAGAATCTAACGGAGTTGCAGAGAGAAGGAATCGCACTCTGAAAGAGATGATGAATGCAATGTTGCAGGAATCTGGGAGACCCCAGAATCTGTGGGGGGAAGCGCTGCTCACCACAAACTACATCCTCAACAAAGTCCCGGGTCAAGAACACAAAGTCTGTAGACTTGTGAAGTCATTGTATGGTCTGAAACAAGCTCCAAAGCAATGGCATGAAAAGTTTGACAATGAAATGATGTCAAATGGTTTCAGCATAAATGAGTGTGATAAGTGCATCTACATCAAAAGTACTCCTCACGGGTATATCTTCCTGTGTTTATACGTTGATGACATGCTCATCATGGGAAGTAACAATGATATCATCCAACAAACCAAGACAATACTTAGTGGTCAGTTTAATATGAAAGACATGGGTCTTGCGGATGTTATCCTTGGCATAAAGATTACACGCACCTCTGAAGGCATCACTTTGTCTCAAGGTCATTATGCTGAAAAGATTCTTGAGAGGTTCAAGGCCTACTCAAATGGAACTGCGAAGACTCCCGTGGATTCGCAACTACACTTGACAAAGAACTTTGGTGAAGCTGTTTCACAAGTGGAATATGCAAGGGTCATTGGCAGTCTTATGTACTTAACCAATTGTACACGACCAGACCTTGCACATGCTGTCAACGTGTTAAGTCGTTACACAAGTAATCCATGTCATACACACTGGAAAGCCATAACAAGGATATTAAATTATTTGCGATACACCAAGAGTTATGGGCTGCACTACGGTAAAGAACCAGCATCTTTGGAAGGATACAGTGATGCAAACTGGATATCAGACTCAAAGAATTCGAAATCCACAAGTGGATACATCTTTACTCTAGGAGGTGCAGCAGTATCTTGGAAATCTTCCAAACATACTCTGTTAGCAAGATCCACAATGGAATCTGAGTTCATAGCGCTAGACAAGGCAGCAGAGGAAGCAGAATGGCTACGGAATTTCCTTGAAGACATCCCCATGTGGGAGAAACCAGTGCCAGCATTATGAGTGCATTGTGATAGTCAATCAGCAATAGCTCGGGCATTGAGTAACTTATACAATAGTAAGTCTCGCCACATCAGAAGGCGACATAAGACCATTAGACATTTGATCTCAACGGGTGTAATCTCGGTCGATTACATCAAGTTAGCTGACAATCTTGCGGATCCGTTCACTAAAGGTTTAAATAGAGATCAAGTTTTGAAATCATCAAAGGGAATGGGTTTATTGCCTATGACTAAAGAGGATGTTTGATGGAAACCCCACTTATGTGATTGGAGATCCCAAGATCTAAGTTCAAAGGGACAACCAAATCGAACAGAGTCTGATGAAAGCACTGAAAGACATAACGTCTGTGCCCATCTCCCAAAACAATGTACAGTGCTCCTTGTAAGTATTAAATGATAAGTTTTATACTTTTAATGATTTTGAGTAGCTTTCATAATATAGAGTATAACAGGATACTTGTGTATATGTCAGGAGCTCAAAGAAATCACCTAGTGAGTGTGAAATGCGGCCGTTTCTAGGAGGATGAAGACAAGGCTATATCTCCAAGTTCACTCATGACAACCAGGCAAGTTCACGGCCACAATGAACACAATAGAGAACTTAGTTCTATGAGAAGATGAGACTGGGTTGTACCTGTTGTCTAAGTTTACATAAAAATCCAGGCGGTTCAAGACATCATGTTCACCTCCTGGCCAAGTAAACTCGACAGATATCAACAATGAATAGTTCAAGGCTGAAATATGCTACTATATCATACACAGTTAATTTTTCACCTATACTCTAGAAAAGTCCTAGTGTCAAGTCCTAATGTGTCTGCATAGTCTTTCGAGTTAGTAGAGTCTACATATGTTTTAGAGTAATTTCTATTCATGTGGGGGATTGTTGGAACTCAGTTTTTGACAAATGGCTCAGGCCAGTTTTCTGGTGACATTTTGAGCACAGTTACCGAAATGACCGGATTATGGATTCTTTGGATTCCTTGTAATGAGTACTATAAGATAATGTATTCACTTGTCAAAAACGAAGTTGATTTGAATGAGAAATCTTTGGTCAAAGTGGGCATGTAATCAAGACAAAAAGTCAACAAATGTCAAGATTAGCATTTTGTCCCGCATCGAAAGTTGGAAGAATTTTCCACTAGTATATAAAGTGACACACTCTCAACAAGGTTCACTAGCCTTTAGAAGAGGACACTATGGAGAAGGAGAGAAAGGGGTGTTATGCAAAACCACACACATGCGCGTGCGTGCCGAGCCGAGCCGGGCTTGGGGCTTGGATCTTGGGGCTTGGGTCTTGGGGCTTGGGTCTTGGGTCTTGGGTCTTGGTGAATGTGGGCTTTAGCATAATATTTCTTAAAGATAATTTGCATAACTCGATAAATCTTTATGATTGGGTCGAAAATTAATAACAGAATATTTCTGTGATATATCTGTTTCGCCCAGATCTCCCCAATCCTTCTATCCGCTATATATACTCTCCTCTCTCATTCATTATTCTTCATCAGCGAAAACTTATAGCTTTCGAAAACACAATATCCAGCAAATCCCTCTCGTCTCTACAGTCTTATAGGTGAGTCTCGAGAGTATAGCGTAAAATTTTCAGTTTACAGATTCTATAGTCGAGTGCTGCGACTTTAGTCTCAACATGGTTATATCCTAGGATTATGAGTCTCTTCAAACCGCCACACTGCAAAAGATTTAAAAAATTAAGAAAAGAAATCATATCTCGACTCCATTTATCGTCTTTCCTTAAATATTTTATTAAAATATTTTATATTTTATTATCGTTTATTATTGATTTAAATTATTTTTTATATTCGTGATTTTTTATATAAATTTTCGCGGTCCTATACTAATATATCGTTGGACATAACAAAGTGTAATTTCACCAAGATAACAAAATGGATAAATTAAAATGGACAACCTCACTAATCTGATTAGCAAAGTGTAATCTGGGGTGTTTTAATACCGGTGTGTTCAGTTCAGTTCCCACCAACCATCGCAAAAAACTCGCCGTCTTACGTTGGTGTGTTTTGTTAAACCCACGTGTTAATCACCCAACTACCAAAACATTCAAACTCTCGACATTTGATGATTTTGCTTCTATAAAATAAAACTTTAGTTTGACCGAAATCATTTCGAATTCATTCATTTTCCCCTAATTTCAAACCTTTTTCCGGGCAATGGAGGGACTAGTTCCGGTGAAAAGTGCTGGACAGAGACTTCCGGTTAGAGTGGTTTCACCTTCTCTGTACCGGTGCATCGGTTCCGTCTCAATCAGACGTTCGGTTTCAGGTTTTGCCATGGACAGGAGGATCGATTCAAGGTCTCCGTCGCTTTTCGCGATCCGGTCTCAACAGGTGCGAATCGACTTTTTCGACTGTGTTTATCTTCTTCCGTCTTTGATTCTATGAAAAACCCATAAACAAAGCTCGCATCTTTCGTTCGATTTTGTGATTGTCTCGATTTTATAAACCCTAGCTGGAACAAATTTGGGGTACTGTAGTTCTAATTCTATCAATCTGTTAGCTGAAAGTATTCGCCTTTGTTTTTTGGTAGACGGATTTGAAGGAAAGTTTAGCTTCTTCTTCGGTAGAAAATGATCTTAGAATCAAGGAATGGGAAGTTGAGATGTATCAGAATGAAATAGCTATTAGCCAAGGTATAAGGATAAGGAGAAAACCACCAAGCAAGGCTCCATTGGGATATTCTGGACCATTTGAGCTGAGATTACATGACGAACAAGATGCTGATTCTCCCAGTAACATCTTGGAGGAGATTACATGGTACAAGGACGAAGAAGTTTCCCGGGTAAGAAGTTTTCTCTTCGACAACCCATTTTAGCGCCTTCAAGGCTCTGCGAGTTCTTACTTACTTAATGGTGATTGTCAGATGAAGGAACTAAACCCACTTGAGGCGTTGAAGAAAGCTGTAGAGAATGCTCCTCCTACTAGGGATTTTGTCGGGGCGCTTAGGATGGCTCATCAAAGAACCGGTTTCCCTGGTTTGATCGCTGAGGTTAAGAAGGCTTCTCCAAGCAGAGGAATTTTGAAAGAGAATTTTGACCCGGTATGTGATGATGCTAGTTTCTATTTCTTTTCGTGTTCTTGAATGAGGTTATTGGACTCTTGATTATGCTAGTAAACTTCCAACGGATAATAAGAGTGGAACATTGAGAATTGTAGTCTTTTGAATGGTTTCACAATATGATTCACTATTGTTCTTACATCTGGAACTGAAAGGTCTTTCATAAATTAATCCAGGTCGAGATTGCTCAAGCTTACGAAAGAGGCGGTGCCGCGTGTCTCAGTGTTTTGACAGACCAGAAGTATTTCAAGGTTTCGCTTGTTGTGTATTCAGTTGCAGATATCTTATACACATTTGCTACGAACTCTTATCTTGATTTGGTTTCAACAGGGAGGCTTTGAAAACTTGGAAGCTATAAGAAGCGCTGGTGTGAAGGTAGTCTCATTTTTAGCAAAGTTTCATGTGTTCTCTTTCTGCTTCATGATGAAGAAATCTTTTTGTGATTATTATGCAGTGTCCTCTATTATGCAAAGAGTTTGTTGTAGATCCATGGCAGATCTACTATGCTCGAGCTAAAGGCGCTGACGCAGTATTGCTTATTGCTGCTGTGTTGACTGACCTGGAAATAGCCTACTTGCTTGAGATCTGCAAGAAGCTTGGTTTGTCAGCTCTCGTTGAGGTTTGCTTTGAGTATTGTTGTGAGTTAGTATTGCTGTTTTCGTTTCGCTCATAACACGCTTTGGCTCTTGATTAGGTACACGATGAGAGAGAGATGGGTCGTGTTCTTGGAATAGAAGGGATCGAGCTTGTTGGCATCAATAACCGAAGTCTTGGTAAGCTCACTACCGTTAGTTCTTGATATCTCTGTCTTAGAATGAGTCCACGGTGATGTGGAAAAGCTTAGTTGAGTTTGAGGAGTCTTACAGAGACGTTTTTGATGTTTCAGAAACATTTAAAGTGGACATTAGTAATACAAAGAAGCTTCTTGAAGGAGAGCATGGTAGACAAATCCGTGAGAAAGACATGATTGTAAGTAGTTTTAGTAGTTTGTCTTTTCAATTGCTGGAAACATCTTCCTGAGTCCTTACCTTGATGATCATGTTGGTGTATGTGTTAAGGTGGTTGGTGAATCCGGTCTGTTTACTCCTGATGATATTGCTTATGTACAAACCGCTGGAGTTAAAGCGGTAAGCTTTCACAAACATCCATCAAAACGTCTTTGGCTGCTTGGAAAAGATGAATGATTCACTGAAATGCTGATTCTAATTTTTAACAGGTTTTGGTTGGTGAGTCCATTGTGAAGCAAAGCGACCCTGAGAAAGGCATAGCTGGACTTTTTGGCAAAAACATATCACATAAAAACCGGCTCACCTAATTTCACATTTCCAAATATGTTTCTTGGTACATTTGTTTGTTTTCTGTGTTTGTATCAGAATTTGTCAAAAACCATAGAATAAATTGAATAAGGAAGCTTTTGAAGACACAACTTATAAAGAAAACGACCCATGGAAACCCCAAATCAAAAGAGAGAGAAGGCAATAATATTAAGTGGTTAAATACACAAGTGAAGAACACACAAAACAACATTGTTGTTTAAATACACAAGTGAAGAACACACATATAAGAAACGACATTGTTGTTTATCTAAAATACATTCATCCTTGCACCAGACCAGAGTCACCAAAACACACCACTCGAAACAAACTCCGACCAGAATGCATAAGTGACTGTCATGGCTTCTCAGACAAGCTCCAGTCTTCTTGGCGCAGTAATGACATTTAGATATTATAGATAAAACGACCTTGCAAGGCGAAGAAGAGCCTCACCAACTTATTCTGCGCGAGTGGATTGTATACAGCAAAACCATTTTTTCTGCAGAAATTATGAATCAATGAAGCCACCAGCAGTATTGAGATCAAATCAAGAAAATGATATTGAGGATGATGCATCTCAGAGAAGAAAAGAAGAAGGAAGAGCTTACAGTGGGCTTCCCAAGAACATCGCCATTTTTGTTATATCCAGGTTCGTCTTTCCCCGGTGAGTCGGATTTTCCACCTCCCTTTTTCTCGTTTCTAGCTTTGTTGAAGATAACAGTGAATCCCTCTGCTGAGGAAGGGTCATTCACATCCCATTCGCCAAACTTTGGCAATGGACGGCCCTTGTCCTACACACAAATCCCAAAATCCAAGACCATGAGTTTTATAAAATGGCCTACACTAGTACCAAAACCCATTTTCCCCTTAGCTTTTCTACTGAAAAGTAAACATTGCAAAAGACTCTATGCACAATCAAGAGAAGAGTTCTATGCACAGACAACAAACAACATTCTTCTCATTTGGCCTTCTATGCATTTATTCCAGATTTGGTTGCATACATTTCAGTGTTTTGCCTTTTTGGCTCTGAGATAATCTTACAAAGATCCTGCTTGCTACTTTCTCTTGTCTATTCACTGATCTAGAATAGCCTATTATGAGAGCAGAAGCTTTACGTCATGTTTTTTAATAAAAAAAATAACACTTTATGCTCAACACCAAAAGAATTACAAAACTGCAGAGACAAAGCTTTGATTAGTCAAGCAGAAAAGCTTTTGTAAGATACAAGACCAGGAAGCTCCATTGTCAACAAGCAAACCCATTATAGGGTTGAAGATTCGAAAACTCACAAAAAAAAAAAAAAAAAAAAAAATGTGAGGACCCAAAAAAAAAGCTTTGGAATTTTCCACGTCTAGCCAAAACGAGAGAGAAATGGTAAATCTCAAAGTAAATCCGGTTTAAACATGTTTGAAATCAAATAAGCGATCAATCAGAAGCAAATAAAGCATAGTATTTCAACAGAGATTACAAAACTACTGAATAATTCCACATAACAAATATAACATTTGAACAAACATCAAGGGGAATCAAAAGATTTGAGAGATACAATTCAGAAATTAAGATTATAGGAAACAGAGAGAGAGAGAGATCGCACTGCCATGGGTTTGCCGGGGAGATTCAAAAGGATGTTAGGTTCGTGGTGGTCGTCGTCTTCTTCCTCTGACTTCTTTCTGCACCTTGTTTGTTTTGTGCGTGTATAATTTGGGGGATGAGGCGAAAAAGAGGAGCCATGGAATCTGGGCCTTTAGTGGGCCTTTTTTATGTCTTGTCGCTATTTGATTTTAACGGTTCAAATCGAAAACCGAACACCAAATACACCGATTAACCGGTCCGAAATTTGATTTGTGATTCCGTCACTTTCTTTAGGATTTGACTCCAAAATTTTTGAGCTCATCCTATTGATCATCTTGCCTCTGGAAACCTAGCCGCTTCCTGTTTTCAACTCATCTTCTCCATGGACAAGGAGAGCAATAGCTTGAAGAGATGCTCCACATCCACCGACGTTGAAGCAGCAGATCATAAGGGCACGAAGCTTTTGCAGAAAGGTAAGAATTTTGCGTTTCTTTATTGCTCGAAGGCCATCACCATATAAAATCTGCTGCATATGTGGAGATATTTTTGTTAGATTATGCTAATTTGAACTGTGTTTTAATCCTTTCTTTTAGCTGAGAGAGAGCTGCAAAATTCGATGACGGATGTAAATCCGAAGAAACGCAAGAAGAAATCTGAGAGCAAGGTCAGAAACTCTCTTAGTTAACTTAACTCTACTGTTGTACTAATCTTTTCCTAGGGTTGACATAAGTACCACTTAAGATGGCTGATCAGTCTCATTAAGAGGTCTTAATTAATAGTTTTTGTAGGAAACTGATGAAGATGATTTGGAACCCAAGAAGAAGCACAAAACACACAAGAAGACATCTGAGAAGAAGGTTTAGATTCTGATTTCTGAGAAAAGTTCTAAAAAAGAAATAACTATTTATCTATGATACTTTAAAGCTTTCTATCATTAAAACACACAAGAAGACAATGAGTTTTTCTAAATTCATTTTTCATGGCAGGAGTTGAAAAAATTGAGGAAATCTTTCAAAGAGATGACTGAAACTATGAAAAACCTACAGGATTTTTTCCTGCAAAATGCTGATCTTCCTGGGATCTCATTGAAGGTATATATATATATATGTTTCTTTAATGAAATAAACATATAAGTTTTGGTTACTAGGAATCTCTGTGTTGCTGACTGATTGAAACTATTTAAAAAAACTGCAGGAGATGTTACTGACTGCACCTGTGGCCCGGGATACTTCATCCAAGGTATATGCTTATTTAATATATAATTTCATCTGTTTGTTTCTACTGATGATACTTTACACTCTTAGCTGATTTAGTTTCTACTGACTTGACTCCCAAGAAATCTGTTTTTTTTTACTGTACGTAGGAGGAAGAACACGCAGAGAAAATGGCGGAATTAACAACATATGAATGTGTTAGGTTTTGCCTACCAACAAGCGAGAAAAAGGAAAAGAGGATAAGAGAGACGAGATAAGATAAAGGGATAGAAAGAATAGTAGAGAGAAATGTTGATTAATTCATTAAGATAAAGAACCCTAAAATAGTTCACTTGTTTAAATACAATGCGCTATAGTAAACGACAATGTACTACATTATTCAGAAAACCCCAAAGACTCTGTTTCATGTGGAGTCTTCGCTTTATCTTCTTAACTTATCTTTAGCCACTCTTCTCGTTCTCTTTCTTCTCCCACACTCGAGCCCTTCTCCTTTTTGTTCGCGTCTTCTTCCTCATGAAGGCTATTGGCACCTGTAGCCTATCAATACCCCCTAAAACACGAACCTTGTCCTCAAGGTTGAGACTCGGAAACTGACCTGCCAAATCCGATAAAGTCTCCCACGTAGACTCAAACTCCGGCAATCCTTTCCATTGAACTAGCACCTCTGTCTCTGTTCTGGATGCAGAGCGACGAATATCAATCAAGTTCTCCGGTTCTGTATTTTATTCGAGGGCAGGGCTTAGAATTGCTGGAATCTCCTAAGCGTGGGCATTTGCTGATATAGCCTTCTTCAGCTTCGACATATGAAACACGGGGTGGATGTTGCTATGTGAGGGCAGCTCGAGTTTGTATGCAACGGTTTCCACTCGTGCCACGATCTGGTAAGGTCCAAAGAATCTCGGCGCCAACTTCTCATTTCAACGATGAGCCAGAGAACCTTGCCTGTAGGGTCGAAGCTTCAAATACACCCAATCACTTATCGCATACTCAACATCACGTCGGTGTTTGTTAGCTCCCTTGACCATCTCCCTTTGAGCTAATTCCAAGTTCTCCCTTAACTCGACCAAAAGGCTGTCGCGATCCCTGAGCAACTCCTCCACTTGAGCATTAGCCGTAGGAGTATCCCCGTAGCGCAGTATCTGCGGTGGCTCTCTACCATACACAACAAGGAAAGGCGTCTGTTTAGTGGAAGAGTGGTAAGAAGAATTGTACCAGAACTCTGCCCATGGAAGCCATTGAACCCAAGAAGTCGGTTTCCTCCCAGCAAAACAACGCAGATAGGTCTCCAAGCATCTGTTTACCACCTCCGTTTGACCATCTGTTTAGGGGTGGTACGCAGTGCTTTTATGCAGCTCTGATCCTTGCATCTTGAACAACTCAGACCAGAAGTGACTGAGAAACACCTTGTCGCGATCATAGACTAGAGTTTCAGGATACCCGTGAAGTCTCACGACTTCGCGTATGAATGCATCAGCAACAGACTTCGCAGTAAACCCTTTGAAAGAGGCAGCCCTTCTACGAAATCCAGACTGACATCAGACCAAATTTTTTGCGGAATAGGCAATGGTGAAAAGAGCCCGGCGGGAAAAAGCGTTGCATATTTGTTCTCTTGACATGTGTGGCATTGCCGGATGAACTTCACCACATCCTTACGCATTCCCTTCCAAGATACTTCCTGAGCTAGTCGCTTGTATGTTTTTAACGCACCTTCATGACCCCCAATGGCACTAGCGTGGAATTGGTCCAGGAGTGTCGGAATGAAGGATGAACCTGACGGTATCAGCAGACGACCTTCCTGATATAGTAATCCATCCTTCACCTCATACCCTGAGTAGAGCTTTTCCGCTGCCTCTACACTCTTGAGTATCCTTCCCAACTCTAGATCCTCCTTAATAGCTTTCTGTAATAGCGCCTTGTCGAGAGACAAAGGTGCCGTCAAGGTGAATTGTGTTGCCTCTTCCAAATGGGCCCTCCTCGAGAGTGCATCAACGACCTTATTCTCCATACCTGGCTTATACTCGATCCGGTAATTCAGCCCAATAAGCTTCGCTGCCCATCTCTGCTGTATCGAGGACACTGCTTTTTGGTCTAACAGATGCCGTAAGCTGCGGTGGTCTGTTTTGATGATGAACTCCCTTCCTGTCAAGTAGTGTTTCCATTTGGTGAACGCCTTGACAATGGCTAGGAGCTCTCTCTCATAAACCGATTTGATACGCCCCTTTGGTGAAAAAGCTTGGCTCAGAAAGGCTATAGGTCTTCTCGCCTGAGACAAAACTGCACCTATTCCAGCTTCAGAAGCATCTGTCTCCACCGTGAAGGTTTGGTTGAAGTCAGGAAGGATCAACACTGGTAGGTTCGTGACCGCTGTCTTTAGAGCTTGGAATGTCGTGGTGGCTGCAGGGCACCAGAGAAATTTGTCCTTCTTGAGTAGGTCTGTCAAGGGCCTCGCGATTTGTCCATAGTTCCTCACAAACCTTCTATAGTACCCCGTCAATCCCAAGAACCCTCGTAGCTCAGTCACATTTTTAGGCGTCGGCCAGCTCAAAATTTCCTATATTTTCTCGGGGTCTGCTGCTGAAATCATATGCCCGAGATACGCTACTTCTGAGCTCCCAAAGGTGCACTTCTTTGCATTGGCATAGAATTGGTATTCACTCATCAATTGTAGCACAGTCGGTAGATGCTTCACATGAGTGTTGATGTCGGGACTGTAGACGAGAATGTCGTCGAAGAATACCAACACGAAGCGCCTTAGGTAGGGTCGAAAAAGGTTATTTATCACACTCTGAAAAGTCGAGGGTGCGTTAGTAAGTCTGAAAGGCATCACTAAGAACTCGTAGTGACCCTGATGAGTCTTGAAAGCCGTTTTCTCCACGTCGCTGATGGTACCCCGACTTCAAATCTAGCTTGGAGAACACTGCTGCTCCGCTCAACTCATCCAACAGCTCTTCGATAACTGGAATGGGATACCTATCAGGAATCGTGGCCTTATTCAGAGCTCGGTAGTCCATGCAGAAACGCCACCCTCCATCCTTCTTCTTCACCAAGAGTACCGGGCTTCAGTAAGGGCTAATACTTGGTTGTATAACTCGTGCCTCCAACATTTCCTGAACTAACCTTTCGATCTCGTTCTTCTGTGTGAAGGAGTAGCGATAGGGTCTAATGTTAATAGGACCGGCTCCTTCTTGCAAGGTGATTGCATGTTCCCGGTTTCTTGTTGGTGGTAACCCGAGTGGCATTTCAAATACTCCTTTGTACTGCTGCAAAACCCCTTGCACCTCTCGCGTATAACACTTCCCTTCCGGTGGGCTGCTGCTTTCAAACAGGGAAGTCAACTCGAGCAAGTAAACCTCTCCCTTCTTCTCGATTATTTTCTCCATAGAGTTGAGGGATATTTGCTCTCGGCTGAGGTTCGGGTCACCCACTATGGTTACCCAGAGATCTCCTATCTTCCAGCTTAGAGTACTCCTTAACCAATTGATCTTCGTATCACCCAATGAAGCTAGCCAAGAATACCCCAATACCACATCTGTAGTCCCTAGCTCAAAGAGTAGGAACACCTCCACAATTTTGACCCCTTGAATGTCTAGGAGCAAACCGGAACATCTCCCCTTCCCACTTAGGATTTGTCCATCTGCCACTCGAACCCCAAACCCTTTCGTATCTGTCCTAGGTAACCCTAACACTGTAGCTAAGGACTCAGATACAAAGTTTCTAGTAGCGCCGGAATCAATGAGGACAATGACCTCCCTACCTCCGATTTTTCCCTTCATTTTCATGGATCGGATGGCAGTTAATCCCACCATGGAGTGAAGTGAAAGCGTTACGAGCTCCTGAGGTTCTTCTTCTTGCTCTACTTCGTCTGCTTCCAGAGCCTCCTCCTCCACGACCCCTTCGCGGTCTTCTCCTTCTTCGACCTCTAAACACTTGAGCTTGTGTTTACAACGGTGTCCTGGAATCCATGGTTCTCCACAGCTCCGGCAAGGGTTGTTACCGCGAGCTACAACGTTTCCAGCGGGTCTCTTGTTATCTCGGTTAACTTTGAAGGGCCTCTTGAAGGAAGCCACTTCATTCCCCTTCGTATACCCGTACCCTTGAGTTCGGTTGACCGGACTAGTAATAGTGGTAGTGACCGCGCGAGGCGTCGCTCTGTTGAAATAGCCCGAGTTATCCCCTTCCTGAGACTCTATCAGCTTAGCTATGTCCACTATGTCCGCCATATTCACCGGTCTACATCTCACCACCTGGTCATGTAGACTCGTCCTTAAACCCCTTAAGAACGCCGATTCCAACACATCATCTGGTACATGAGGTAGTTCCACGGCTAAGGCCTCAAATCTCTCTCTGTATTCTTCCACACTCCCCTTCTGGTAAATACAAAAGAGATGGTCTACCGACGAGGTCCCACAACTCAGTTTGAATCACACCTTGAACTTCTCCTTAAAATCCTTCAAAAGAACGATATGCTCTCTCTCTTGAGCTCCTCTCCACTACGTGACGGCTACCCCGGTGAGGCAAGTAACTGCGTGGTCCAGCTTCTCCGAATCTGGTACCCCGTTCATGGAGAAACATTTTTTCAAGCGAAAGAGCCAATCCTCTGGGTTGTGACCCTCGTAAGCAGGAAGGTCCACCTTGTTGGGTTGTTGGGTCTGCTGGATTTGAGGAAGCGGGGCAAGTGTGGGCTCGGGTCTCAGCTCACGCGCTGCCATTAGAGGATAACCACCTTGAGGTCTCATCTGGATCTCGTCATTAGGTCTCGGGTAAAACCCTTTGCCGCTGACTCGATCTGTGGTGGGACGCGGTGTTGTCGTGGGGGTGGGATGTTGTGCGCTAGGGTTCAGAGTCGAAAACCCCGTCGGAGTCGTCTCTTGTACTCCGAAAGCCTGGACTCGCAGAGCACTGCAAAGCACCTGCTCAATCCAAAGGATGGCCTTCTCCGTCTTATCCACGCGTTGCTCCAGAGTCAACGCCGTGGCGGGGGTCTCGGTAATGTTCATCTCAAGTTCAGAAGCTGCAGATCTCGGATCTGTTTCGTCGATGGTGGGTAAGGAACTCATCGCCGACATCTCTCAACGAAAGCACCACTTAATAGGTTTTGCCTACCAACAAGCTAGAAAAAGGAAAAGAAGATAAGAGAGACAAGATAAGATAAAGGGATAGAGAGAATAGTAGAGAGAAATGTTGATTAATTCATTAATGTTATAAGATAGAGAACCCTAAAATGGTTCACTTGTTTAAATACAATGCGCTACTACAGTAAACGAAAATGTACTACATTATTCAGAAAACCCCAAAGACTCTATTTCACGTGGAGTCTTCGCTCTATCTTATTAACTTCTCTTCAGCCACTCTTCTCGTTCTCTTTCTTCTTCCACACTCGAGCCCTTCTCCCTTTTGTTCGCGTCTTCTTCCTCATGAAAGCTATTGGCACCTGTAGCCTATCAGAGTGCTGTTATGAAACTGAAGATGCGGATGGAGACAACGAGGATTCTGTCTTCGTTAGGGGGTTGGATACTTCGCTTGCTAGGGAAGATATCAAGACCGCATTGAGGAAGCATTTTGAGTCAAGTGGATGTGAAGTCACTAGGGTTTTTGTTCCCATAGAGTGTCAAACCGGTACTCCCTTAGGGTTTGTGACTTGGTTCCTCTCCAATTTTTTATTTTTTTTTAGTTTAATATGTACCAACTCGAAGATTGACCGACCCTTGTGCTTTTTTTTTTTTTTTACAGATTTGCTTTCATTGATGTGGATGATGAACAAAAGGCCATGGAACTCGGTAGAGGTTACATGGGAGGATGCAGGATTTTTGTTATGATGGCTACAAATCAACCGGAATACTATAGTTTCCCTAACTTTAGTGGGTGTGCACATTGTGGTACTTTTCTTTTGGAGCGCCGTATGGAAAGATTCCTCGCTAGGGGGCGTTGCTGAAAGATCAGAGAAACTTTACCTTAAAGTAGTGAATCCATCAATAGAAGTGATATTTATTCTTGCCTTTGGATCATATGGTCTAAACCTAACAGATGTAGGACTGCGAAAATCCAGATTGAAAATCACGAATATAAAAAACGATTTAAATCAATAATAAATGATAATAAAATATAAAACACTTTAATAAAACCTTTAAGGAAAGACGATACACGGAGTCGAGATATGATCTCTTTCCTTAATTCTTTAAATCTCCCGCAGTGTGGCGGTTTGGAGAGATTCATAATCCCAGGATACAACCGTGTTGAGACTAAAGTCGCAGCACTCGACTATAGAATCTGCGAACTGAAAATTCTACGCTATACTCTCGAGACTCACCTAAGACTGTAGAGATGAGAGAGATTTTCTGGATATTTGTGTTTTCGAAAGCTATAAATTTTCGCTGATGAAGAATAATGAATGAGAGAGGGAAGTATATTTAGCGGATAGATGGATTGGGGCTCAAGGGTTTGCCTTGGCCGCCACTTATAGATAAACGGAAATATTCCGAAAATCTTCTATTCCTTGATCGCAAAGAATAATAGAAACAGAAATATTCCAGAAATCTTTTATTCCTTTCTGATAAGGATCTGGGCGAAACAGATATATTACAGAAATATTGTGTTATTAATTTTCGACCCAATCATAAAGATTTATCGAGTTATGTAAATTATCTTTAAAGAATATTAACATATTTGTGAAAATAAGTTAATAAATATTTACTCCAAAAAGGACATCTTGTTGTGGGCTAAAGCCCATATTTACCAAGACCCAAGACCCAAGCCCAAGCCCAAGCCCAAGCCCAAGCCCGGCTCGGCACGGCGCGTGCGCATGTGTGTGGTTTTGCATAACAGCCCTTTCTCTACTTTTCCATAGTGTCCTCTTCTAAAGGCTAGTGAACCATGTTGAGAATGTGTCACTATATATACTAGTGGAAAATTCTTCTAACTTTCGATGTGAGACAAAATGCTCATCTTGACATTTGTTGACTTTTTGTCTTGATTACATGCCCACTTTGACCAAACATTTCTCATTCAAATCAACTTCGTTTTTGACAAGTGAATACATTATCTTATAGTACTCATTACAAGGAATCCAAAGAATCTATAATCCGGTCATTTCGGTAACTGTGATCACCAGAAATGTCGCCGGAAAACTGGCCTGAGCCATTTGTCAAAAACTGAGTTCCAACAATCCCCCACATGAATATAAATTACTCTAAAACATATGCAGATTCTACTAACTCGAAAGACTATGCAGACACATTAGGACTTGACACTAGGACTTTTCGAGAGTATAGGTGAAAAATTAACTGTGTATGATATAGTAGCATAATTCAGCCTTGAACTATTCATTGTTGATATTTGTCGAGTTTACTTGGCCAGGAGGTGAACATGATGTCTTGAACCGCCCGGATTTTTATGTAAACTTAGACAACAGTACAACTCAATCTCATCTTCTCGTAGAACTAAGTTCTCTATTGTGTTCATTGTGGCCGTGAACTTGCCTGGTTGTCATGAGTGAACTTGGAGATATAGCCTTGTCTTCACCCTCCTAGAAACGACCGCATTTCACACTCACTAGGTGATTTCTTTGAGCTCCTGACATATACACAAGTATCCTGTTATACTCTATATTATGAAAGCTACTCAAAATCATTAAAAGTATAAAACTTATCCTTTAATACTTACAGGGAGCACTGTACATCATTTTGGGAGATGGGCACAAACGTTATGTCTTTTAGTGCTTTCATCAGACTCTGTTCGATTTGGTTGTCTCTTTGAACTTAGATCTTGGGATCTCCAATCACATAAGTGGGGTTTCCATCAAACATCCTCTTTAGTCATAGGCAATAAACCCATTCCCTTTGATGATTTCAAAACTTGATCTCTATTTAAACCTTTAGTGAACGGATCCGCAAGGTTGTCAGCTGACTTGATGTAATCGACCGAGATTACACCCGTTGAGATCAAATGTCTAATGGTCTTATGTCGCCTTCAGATGTGGCGAGACTTACCATTGTATAGGTTACTCAATGCTCGAGCTATTGCTGATTGACTATCACAATGCACTCGTAATGCTGGCACTGGTTTCTCCCACATGGGGATGTCTTCAAGGAAATTCCGTAGCCATTCTGATTCCTCTGCTGCCTTGTCTAGCGCTATGAACTCAGATTCCATTGTGGATCTTGCTAACAGAGTTTGTTTGGAAGATTTACAAGATACTTCTGCACCTCCTAGAGTAAAGACGTATCCACTTGTGGATTTCGAATTCTTTGAGTCTGATATCCAGTTTGCATCACTGTATCCTTCCAAAGATGCTGGTTCTTTACCATAGTGCAGCCCATAACTCTTGGTGTATCGTAAATAATTTAATATCCTTGTTATGGCTTTCTAGTGTGTATGACCTGGATTACTTGTGTAACGACTTAACACGTTGACAGCATGTGCTAGGTCTGGTCGTGTACAATTGGTTAAGTACATAAGATTGCCAATGACCCTTGCATATTCCACTTGTGAAACAGCTTCACCAGAGTTCTTTGTCAAGTGTAGTTGCGAATCCACTGGAGTCTTTGCAGTTCCGTTTGAGTAGGCCTTGAACCTCTCAAGAATCTTTTCAGCATAATGACCTTGAGACAAAGTGATGCCTTCAGAGGTATGTGTAATCTTTATGCCAAGGATAACATCCGCAAGACCTGACCACTAAGCATTGTCTTGGTTTGTTGGATGATATCATTGTTACTTCCCATGATGAGCATGTCATCAACGTATAAACACAGCAAGATATACCTGTGAGGATTACTTTTGATGTAGATGCACTTATCACACTCATTTATGCTGAAACCATTTGACATCATTACATTGTCAAACTTTTCATGCCATTGCTTTGGAGCTTGTTTCAGACCATACAATGACTTCACAAGTCTACAGACTTTGTGTTCTTGACCCGGGACTTTGTTGAGGATGTAGTTTGTGGTGAGCAGCGCTTCCCCCCCACAGATTCTGGGGTGTCCCAGATTCCTGCAACATTGCATTCATCATCTCTTTCAGAGTGCGATTCTTTCTCTCTGCAACTCCGTTATATTCTGGTGAATAGGGAGCAGTTGGAATCGATGGAACCACGTGTGGTAGACCATTCCCTTGTGAGAGTGTCGGCTCACTTGTGTTCTTCGGAAGTCCAACGTCAGTAGACATTCTGAATCTAATCACAGAAAACAAACTAGGTTAGTTTTTGAGATCTCAATCCAGAAAAACGATTAAAAACTTTTAATTCGCTATTAATTTGTTCACAGAAATTGCCTAAAAGCGTTCTTAAACCCTAATAGCCGTTCCCAGAAATCACCTAAAGGTGTTCTTAAACGCTATGTTTCAGATCTATAAGATCGTTTATAGACAAATGTTTCGCGATCCTGCCTAGGGCTGACGCGGAAATCGTTTTGTGTCTTTTATGATAATCGTCTGTTTTTAAGATCAAACGTTCTACGGTTGGCTATAAGGCAATCACAGAAGCGTTGTAGATCGATCAGAAAACGTTTTAAAATCGTTTTATGAAATCGTTTTTTGAAGTATTGTTCGCAATATTCAATCCAATTCAAGCGATTAGCAGGAAACGGAATTAAAGAATTAAGATTGTAGGACCGCGCAAATCCGTGAAATTACACTTTGTTATGTCCAACGACATATTAGTGTAGGACCGCGAAAATCCAGATTGAGAATCACGAATATAAAAAACGATTTAAATCAATAATAAACGATAATAAAATATAAAACGCTTTAATAAAACCTTTAAGGAAAGACGATACGCGGAGTCGAGATATGATCTCTTTCCTTAATTCTTTAAATCTCCCGCAGTGTGGCGGTTTGAAGAGATTCAGAATCCCAGGATACAACCGTGTTGAGACTAAAGTCGCAGCACTCGACTATAGAATCTGCGAACTGAAAATTCTACGCTATACTCTCGAGACTCACCTAAGACTGTAGAGACGAGAGGGATTTACTGGATATTTATGTTTTCGAAAGCTATAAGTTTTCGCTGATGAAGAATAATGAATGAGAGAGGGGAGTGTATATAGCGGATAGAAGGATTGGGGCGCAAGGGTTTGCCTTGGCTGCCACTTATAGATAAACGGAAATATTCCGAAAATCTTCTATTCCTTGATCGCAAAGAATAATAGAAACGGAAATATTCCAGAAATCTTTTATTCTTTTCTGATAAGGATCTGGACGAAACAGATATATTACGGAAATATTCTGTTATTAATTTTTGATCCAATCATAAAGATTTATCGAGGGATTGGGGCGCAAGGGTTTGCCTTGGCCGTCATTTATAAATAAACGGAAATATTCCAAAAATCTTCTATTTCTTGATCGCAAAGAATAATAGAAACAAAAATATTCCAAAAATCTTTTATTCCTTTCTGATAAGGATCTGAGCGAAACAGATATATTACAGAAATATTTTGTTATTAATTTTCGACCCAATCATAAAGATTTATCGAGTTATGCAAATTATCTTTAAGGAATATTAAGCCCGAGCCCGGCTCGGCTCGGGACGGCGCGTGCGCGCGCATGTATGTGGTTTTGCATAACAGCCCTTTCTCTCTTTTTTCATAGTGTCCTCTTCTAAAGGCTAGTGAACCTTGTTGAGAGCGTGTCACTATATATACTAGTGGAAAATTCTTCCAACTTTCGACGTGGGATAAAATGCTCATCTTGACATTTGTTGACTTTTTGTCTTGATTACATGCCCATTTTGACCAAAGATTTCTCATTCAAATCAACTTCGTTTGTGACAAGTGAATACATTATCTTATAGTACTCATTACAAGAAATTCAAAGAATTCATAATCCGGTCATTTCGGTAACTGTGCTCACCGGAAATGTCGCCGGAAAACTAGCCTGAGCCATTTGTCAAAAATTGAGTTCCAACAACAGATACACAAATGCAACATTTCAGCCCACAAGATTATACTTGCTTTTTTTGTCAATGCTTGAGGTCTAAAGAACACTTACAGTTCAAGATTCAAAGATTAAAGCAGACTTTACCTATTCTTTTCATCGAGAGGAGAAATGGTATACTCACATTATGCTTCAGGTAGCTCAATAGAGCGTCTTGGGGACTTTGAGAAGCCATCCATGTTCTATGTTTTCGCAGCTCCCACGCGAAAGTCATATAAAAATGAAACCAAAAAGTAGTTTCTTTTTGTCATTTTCAACGGAATATAGATCTTTTTAACCGAAACCGGATTAGTATTTTGTATTTAAGGCCAAATTAAACCGTGAACCGGATTAGTACTTTGTATTCGAGACCAAAATTAATGGTATACCATAAGCCAAATTGAACCGTAAACAAAACCAAAACGTAGTCTTCACTTCAAATCCAATCCATTCCTTAATAATTAGATCGACACAAACCCTAAATTATTACTAAATATTAACTCGATTCTCAGCGTAAAACTGGATTATATCAGCTACAAAGAAGCAATTTATTCTGGGTTTTAGGCCAACAGATTTTGAACTTGATGGTCAGCAGAAACATGGTACGTATGTTTCTCCTCTCTTTAATCCTTAGTTTCCGGCCTCTGTTCGTTCTTTTAGCGTTTTACTCGATTTAGTTTCCTTGTAGATTCGGTGAACTACGATGGATTTAATCGAATGTGCTTTTAGCTTTAAGTGCTTGTTTTCTTGGTTTGAGAAGTTAATGCGAGGGATCATAGCTACTTTGGAGATTTTAGAGTATTTGAAAGCTTTACGGTTTTCTATCTTACAATCTCAAAACCTGAATTGCCTTTGATCTCTAAGCTAGAGTTGCTTATATTGTGTCCGGGGTTTATGTGTAACAAGCTGAATTCCTAAAAACCTCTGTAATGTGTTTTTTATGGAAGATTAAAGCTTGAGAGTGGAGGAGAAGTTTAAGCCAGGGTGATTGAAATTTAGGGAGATTGTATAAGTTGACTGATCCAGGGAAGATGAAACAATCAAAAACCATCGTGGTATGTTGTTGTTATTACCCTTCCTCTTTCATTTCAGTTTGTATCATGCTTATGAATCATATTTGAATGTTCAATATGATTATTGAGTTTGAGCAGATTAGATACATTAACGGAGAAATTGGTTGATGAGAGTTAAACAAGTTGTTTCAATTTCAAAATATTGGAGTTGATGAGTATTGAGCTCGATATATAATTTATAGTATAGTAGTAACGCTTCTTCACATGAGAATGACAATTGGCTTCAAGCTTAAGTCAAAGAGTATTGGAAGCTTTGAACTTTTTGAATCGTTAGAGTTTTCATGATATATGTGTAGAGATACAGTTATGATTATGTTTTCTACTTTTGTTAAAAAATTGATAGGAAGTACATGCAGCCGTACGTGCTGCTTGCAGCTGTAAGTGATGCTCGCAAACTGTTTTAAAGTTGATATCAGTAGTTGTCGTTCTCTAATGTTGGTTAACCAGTCTAGTACTTGCAGCCGTATGTGATGCTTGTATTTTAAACCACTGTTTAATCAATTTTGTATCGCTTTTTTTTTGTTTAACTGTTTATCTTCTAATCAATGCAGAAAATGAATCAGATGAAGAAAAATTTCAAGCAGATTAGTAAACAAAATAAAGATTTAAACAAGAAGTTTCTTACTACTGCAGACGGATCCTTTTATCTTCTGAAGGTACAAGAATAATCTGAACTTGTACTTACAATTTTACATGTATGACATCTTTTGATATTTTGTTCTGTTTAGTCGAATTTGGATGATGGTGAAGTTCTCTTATCTTGGAGATTCAAGAGGCGCGATTTAATTAGTGATCCTACCTTTCAAATGAAAGGTTTGCCATTCATCAAAATATATATGCTATATATCTCTACTAGTATTGAATAAAATAAAGTTTTCTTATAAAACCAAGAACTAAACGAATTAATTTGTTTATTCTTTGAATTATTCAGACGATTGTTGGGCTCATGCTTTTGCTCGAGCCCTATCCGCTCTCATGAAGCAACATGGAAGTACCGAAAATCTTCCCACTGCAGCGTTGCTCGTTGCTCAAATTGATAAGAAGTTTTTAACAAAAACTAAAGGATTGCCCAAGTCTATCGATGCTGCCACTTCAGTGCTCCACAACTATGGTTGTAGCTTGGTTGTGCATCATCGTCCTAAACTGAAATTGCTCGAGGATAATGAAGAGTTTGAGAAGTTTATTGAGCGGCGACTAGCTATAGGTCCAGTGGCCGTGTGTTTCCTTTATGTGCCAGGTTACTCTTGTTTCAGCCATAAAAATAAAGTAAGTTTTTAATCATTTTTTCAAATTTTAACTATATATCCAATTTATGATCTTGTGTTTTGACTTACAGAAAATGCCAAGCTGATGCATACTTAACTTTTTTCAGGCAGTTTTCCGTCCAAGCGTCATTGATATCCAGGCAATGCATTATGAGAGTTTAGATAACCATTGTGCCGTCATAACCGGTCGTGGAGTGGTCTTGATTGGTGGTAAGTCCATTGAGTTTTGGGAGATACATGAAACCCGAGGAGATCATTTTGGAGATAAAGGTTTTACTCGACTGGAACGCCACAAGGGGCTCATTATTGAAGTTTTTGAATTTAAGCTATAGATTTTTCCTCTAAAACAAACTGGTTATTTGATTTTATCATGTAAATATTTATTGATTTAGTTCTTTTTTGTTTTAGCTTTGATCGTGGGGTACTTCAAGAGGATCATAAAATATTTTATATGGTGAAATGGTTGTATGATTAGATACATAAATAAAACGCAACAATAGCAGGCAGCTAAGCAAAGTATCATGGATGAATAATTCATTCTTTTTTAAAAACGTTCTTCAGAATCTGACCTTCTCAGATGTCTTCTAATTGTGTGCTTTCTTCTTCTTCTTGGGTTCCAAATCATCTTCATCAGTTTGCTACAAAGACAAGTAACTAAGACATCTTAATGAGACTGATTTGCCATCTTAAATGGCACTTTTTTCAAGCCTAAGAAAATATTAATACAACAGTAGAGTTAATTAAGAGAGTCTCTTACGTACCTTGCTCTCAGATTTCTTTTTGCGTTTCTTTGGATTTACATCGTTCTTCAAATTTTGCAGCTCACTCTCAGCTACAAGAAAACAAAAAGACACAGTTCAAATTAGCATAAAACGTTCTATCTCACCAAATTATCTCCATATATGCCTTGTATAAGCAGATTTTATATACTAATGAGTTAAAACACCCTCGAGCAATAAAGAAACCTAAATTTCTTACTTTCTGCAAAGACCTCATGCCCTTATGATCTGCTGCTTCAACAACGGTAGGTGTGGAGCATCTCTTCAGTCTCTTGCCCTCCTTGCCCATGGAGAAGATGAGTTGAAAAGAGGAAGCGGCTAGGCTTCGAGAGGCAAGAACTGAGTTCTAAAGCCTCGAGCAATAAAGCCTAAAAACAAAAGTTTGTTAGTGCAAATGGTTCACTTCTACAGGTTGGTATAAAGGCTTTTTCGTTGAAGTGTTTTAATAACTAGCTCTAACTGAGCTATGTGATTAACAAACCTGTGATTAACAAACCTGTGATTATGAATAAATATGTCATCAAAGTAAACCACTACAAACTTACTGATAGAAGGTCGTACAACTTGGTTCATAAGTCTCATGAAAGTGCTCAGTGCATTGGTTAGCCCAAACAGCATGATTAGCCATTTATAAAGATCTTGCTTGGTCTTGAATGCCATCTTCCAATCGTCATCTTCTTTCATTCTCATTTGATAGTAGCCACTCCCGAGATCAATCTTGAAAAACATATTAGATCAAGATAGATCAAGTAGTTTTGTAATCATAAAAACCTGATGTCGATATTTGATTGTTATTCCAGATTTACCAAATACGTATTTCACTCCTTTGCGGACGTCATCTCGATCCAAATTCCGTTTGAAATCTTTGATACAAAATGATTTATACCGGCCATAAGTGGATTTGGATTCACAAGTTAAATAACAAATAACCAAAGAAATGCAAAACAACTTACATGGAGATTACTGACCGAGTAAGAATTATTTGACCCTTCATTTGAACGCCTTTTTAATTTTTTTCAAAGTCGCCATTGCTTGTTCAGAAGATTAAAACTTTACTGCAAACATCTTCCTACCACACTGCAATTGAAACCATTGAAGAAGTTATCCTTATTAAACTTACAAAAGTAAGTCTCAAATGATCGTTTAAAAAATCAAATACAAGGATCATTTGATGGTTTGGCATTTGTGTTGGGATCAGCGTTGATCTTCAGTGGGTCAGCGCGTGACACCAGCATTTACAAGGATCATTCGCTTTCGTATCGTTGGATCTTTTGCTTTTGTTTATATCATCAGGTAGGTGCTGGTAAAGTCGTGTTGTCTAGTTTAGGATAGTTTTCGTTTCTCTTCTTTTAGGTAGTTAAGTCGTTGAAGTTAGTATCCTTTCCACCGCCTTTAGATAAGTTGGAAATGTTGAATAATAGGTTTCCTTACGTGGTCTTTTCCTTGTTCTGTTTTTGTAAGGCTAATTTATTGTGGAGATGAGTTGTACTAGATTAAGATTTTTTTCTGAAAATTAATCATTTTAATTGATTTTCAAACAGTTTTTTTTGTCTCATTTTTTTTTTTCATATATCTATACAAAATGATTAATTATTTTAATCCAACATTAATTAAAATAAAATTTGGTCAAGGAAGAATATTCATTTCGACTCTAAATATAATGTGGTAATTTTTTAATGTGTCAACAGCCTTTTTTTTAGAATGGTTCAGAAATCCAAATTCGTAAAGTTGAGTTTATATAATGAAAGAAATAAAGATAGTCGCGGACATTCTATATCAGTTTGTCTGCTTTTGTATTCTGAGCACGTGGGATGTGTGAAATCGAGAAGAAAGTAAATTCCTTCTTGCTGTTCGCATACTCCTCTAAGTGTAAAGAAAATGTCAGCTATTCCTCTGGTTTGGATACCATCTTCACCAAATCAGAACAGTCAGTGACGAAAACCATCACTAGTCTTCCAGCATCAAGCATGATACAAGAGTTTTTTTTATCTCTTGTGACTCATTTTCTCAAGTCCTATGATCATGTCATTGCAGCACTCAAGGTGTCAATCCAATCAGGGATGTCAATCATTAAGAATACATGAAATCAAGTAAGCTAAGCTAAACAAGAAGTGGGTTTGTAACAAGCTAGCAACCTAGTGATCAATCAACCAAACAGAAGAAAGAATTAAACTAGAGTGCAAGACAAGTAACTAAACAATTCAACCTCAAGAAACAGAGCAAAAGCAGAGCAAAACAGAGCAAATTCGAAATGAGACAAACAAGAGTCTTAGAATAGGGCTTTTGATCCAAAAATGAAATAACAGTCAATCTTTGATGTGCAAACTCAACCAATAAGGCTAATCCTCCAGCATAGAACTTCTAAACATGCATACCAGTTCAATCCCTTGACAAAGATCCCTTTGCTAACAACTTAACCAAATCTAATTCCCATTAGTGATCAAGTAATCAACAAGAATTAAACAACAATTCTATCAAGGCAAAATACTTCCCTGGACAATCATTCTCATGACCTAGACAAGTAAATCTCATAAAAGATTGGTTCAGACATTTCATCAAACATTTTTGGTGCAGAGAAAGCCCTAATTCGAAATCTAAGTGATTTGCAAAGAGCAAGCATTAAAAACATCAAATAGGAAATGATTAATCAATATTAAGCATTAAACATCAAAGATCAATCACTAAATTCTCACAGATCTAACCCAGCCTAAGAACCCTAAGAGAACTACTCAGAACACATAAATAACATGGCGAAAATCATAGATTCAATATCAGAAAGCATAATCAAAAGCAGAGTAAATATGACCAAAAGATGAAACTGCAAACTCTTAATTAAAACCCAAAATATTGCTTACAAATCCTAAAATTTCTGGGAAAAAGCTTAAGAACAAGAGAGAGAGAATGTCTCGATTCAGAAAAAGCATAAAAAGCAAGATAAGATTAATTGTTGATAAAGTTTGCTTTAATAGTCAAAAGATTAAGGGTGGTCAATGGTCAAATCTCGGATGTTGACCAAAGACCAAACCAGTGAAAATCCAGAAGGAAGGATGTCGCAAGTGTCACACCGGGGAGTAGAAGCCGGTGCGAGTGCCCGGTGCAGATCCTTGAAACTTTGGGTCGATTGGCTCCGAGGTGTAGACGCTGGTGCAGGTGCCCAATGTGAGTGCCTTGAATTCTCGGGGGTTTTTGGCTCCGAGGTCTTCACGCCGGTGCAGCTGCCCGTGCAACTCCTTGGATCCTCAGGATGTTTGACTCTGGGATCTTCAAGCTGGTGTGCTGCCTGGTGCAAATGATTCTTCTTACTTATCTTCCTTTTGCTCTCTTCAATCCATCAATCATGAAATCCACTTGATCAGAAGGTTTCCAAAGCTCCATAGTACCTGAAATACACTCCAAATGCAACAAAACATGCATTCCTAATCCTAAAGTATACTTACTCTACTATGAATGCAAATGGGACACTTTGGACTATAAAATGGATGATATACAATAGAAAGCTAGACTAAATGAGGCTTAAAATAATGCAAGCTATCAACACCCCCACACTTGCCTTTTGCTTGCCCTCAAGCAAACAAGGACAACTAAGGGAGTGAAGTTTGAAAGTGGGAGTTCAAAGCCTAAAATGTCAAAGGAAGAGTTGAGTTCAATTCCGAAGTTACCAGTTCAAAAATAAGCTAGTTCTACATGAAAATATTCCCAATGTAGTCCCTATTCCCAACACTTTTTACTAAGCTCATATATGAAAAAGGCCTTTCAATCTCTCACAAATGATTCAATGGTTTGAAAGAAGGTTATGGTTAAGGGTGTGGAGTTTTACTTAGAATAACAAGAGTGGCAAAAGGGAGAAGAAAGCCCAAATATGTATGATGATCCATGAAAAACATTTTTCAATGCACCAGATGATAATTGAAAGATCAAAATTAAGGTTCAAATTACTAAGGATTGAAATCAGTTCATGCATGCTTTAACTAGGCAAGAGTGACAATGCAAATAATTTCAAATGTGGTTCAACCTTCAGTTCAGACTAGATCACAAGCATCAAACAAATAATAGCTAGAGCATTGACATCAAAATCTAACTTTAACATTTATTGATATATCATGGTTTTATGGTTTTTAACCATGATATAAGTCCTTTTTATTGAGTTTTTTTGGTCTTTTTAGAGTCCTAGTAGAGTCTTTGCAGGTTAAATCATGTCTGGAGCATAATTGAAAGTTTTGAAGCTTTTTGGAGCATTCTAAGATACAACCCCGAATGAAGCAAGTCACAAGCGTTGTTCTGGCTTGGGTGACGACCGTCACTGACCTGGTGATGCTCGTCACCCGTAGAGGAAGGTTCGTGGCTGGTTTTTGTAAGATTGGGAAGAAATTGCAGTTTTGGCCCAGAAGTTCCAGTATTTGCAAAAAGGCCCCAGATCGTGTTTTAGCTTGTATATATTAGGTTTCCAGCCATTGTTGGCTTTTGTCTTGTATCTTATTCTTTTTGAGAGCTAGAGGGAGAGATTTGTAGCAGAGCTTTTGGAGAGACAAATCAGACTCCTTCAGAGCAGATTTCGAACTCCTTTATTTCAATTTCTTATTTCTTTTATGCAATCTATTCTTTTCATGATGTTTGTTTCATTCACCATGTCTG